TTTGTTTCATTTATCTTTATTTCAGGATTAAAAATTGAAGATCTTGAAATGTCTGAACTTGACAAAAAATAAAGTAGGAAATATGGTATGATTTTATAGGATGTTTTAATTTGTGTTTCATCAGTTTTGTATCATCATAAAAATGCAAAAAAGTATAATAAGAATTAAATATTAGCTGGAAAAAAAGGTTTCATGGTTGTACTGTAGTTCTTGATAAAATGCATTGAAATGCCAATTACCATGGGAACAACTTTTTTTGGAAATTCCAGTTCGTTAAAATCTTTTAATCAACATCAGGTTTTTTTGTTAGTAAACAAGATTTTTTTGGCTTTTTAGTAATAATCCTTTTTTTTTTTTGGTTAATATACTGTCGTTAAAATAGACTTTTCATCTATCTATCTGTCTGGACAGTTTAAGACCAGAATTTGTAACTACAAATCTTTGTTTTATTTATTCCCTTTCAGTCTTTGTAACTAGGAAGCCTTCGTTAAAGAAACCATGCATGGATAATATATTAATATTTTTTTCTATACAAGACATTAACTAATCTCTGATGAGCTTCAATTTCCAATGAATAAGGTCGTTCCTTATCTCTTTGTAATTAGCGACCGTCACATTTCTAATAAATAAAGATTACCAACACTTTAAGGGAATACGATACAGTAGCAGGGGCAGATAATAACGTTTTCAAAACTGTTCGTGTTGTTTTCGCGACGTTGTTAATCAGAACGTTGTAATTTCGCGAAGTTTCTAATAAGAACGATTACATTTCGCGACGTCGTTTTAAATGTAGTCATGTTTGCGGAAAATCCAGTGACGTCACAAATCCGGTTGCGCGAATTTGCAAAAAAAGTACCTGCCAAGAAAATCGGCCATATCACGAAAATTGTTATATTCATTCATTAATATTGAGGTCAACAGTATTAACTTGAAATGTGAAAAAAAAATTAAATCCACATTCATACTCTTGTATATGTTTTATTTCATATAGGAAATGAATAACAGATATGCAAATAATAATACGTCGATGAGACAGAAACCCAACTAAACAAAAAGACCAATAAGTAATTAAATGTAATTTAGATATTAACGTACTGTCTTGATCTATATATAATATCTACACCATTTGGAAAACTGTATGGAGAATTGTGCAAATAAATTTAACAGAGACTATCAACAAAATGACAAAATAACATGATTAATAAAGACAACGCCTCATACTGCACCTGACTTTGAATAAGTACATTAAAAAGTTTAACGGCATTTTTAGAATTTAACCCAGTGGAATACATATGTGTATGAAAAAGAACTCAGTTTAAAAGACACAGTTATAAGCCCCGTATTATAGACGGAATGACGGACGGACAGACGGACAGGTGTAAAACAATACGCCACCCAACTTTCAGTTGCGGGGGTATAAAAATACCCTAAAGACAAATTAACTTAGGCAACTTATCTATTGATACAAAATCATGCAATTACATGATCTAATACCGACTGCTGTACTTCCTATGACATGTCAAACTACACCGTAATGGACTTTATTGAGACAATTACGACATGCATTTGCTCGAAACAGCTCTAAATATACACCTTTTTTGAACATGTTCAGAGTAGTTCTAAGCTGACCCGAGTTAATGTGGGTATGGTTTTGTGTTCATATAATGCCTATATAGTAGGCCGATAGTTTTCTTGATTGAATTGTTCACATTTTCATGTCGGGGCTTTTTAAAGCTGACGGTGAAGGCCGTGCGGTGACCCTTAATTGCGTTTATCTTCGTAATTTGAAATATGGTTGATAGTTGTCTCATTGGCAATCATACCAACTGTCCTTACTTTTATATTATCCCACTTACTTGATAATTGTTTCATATTTTGTCATGTTGGGACCTTTTGAATAATTAAAAATATGCCCAAGCTGTGTTGTCTGCATGAGTTGAAGGACTAATGTCGGACTGAGATGCAAATTATTTTTTATGCCAACGCCGTAGCGGAGGGGGCATTAAGTTTTACCCTTGTCCGTCTGTACGTACGTACGTACGTCCCAAAATTGGTTTCAGTTCTCTAACTTTAGTTTGCCTCAACCAAATGTTATGAAACTTATACACAATGCTTATTACCACAAAACACAGATCAAGTTTGAATTTTGGTGGCGTCACTTTTACCATTCTAGAGTTATGCCCCTTTACAAATGGAAAAATTGCTGAATTTTTCGTTTCCGTTCTCTAACTTTAGTTTGCCTCAACCAAATGTTATGAAACTTATACACAATGCTTATTACCACAAAACACAGATCAATAGATATAAGAAGATGTGGTATGAGTGCCACTGAGACAACTCTCCATCCAAGTCAAAATTTATAAAAGTAAACCATTATAGGTCACAGTACGGTCTTCAACACGGAGCCTTGGCTCACACCGAACAGTAAGCTATAAAGGGCCCCAAAAATTACTAGTGTAAAACCATTTAAACGGGAAAACCAACGGTCTAATCTATATAAAAAACGAGAAACGAGAAAAACTTATGAACCACATCAACAAACGACAACTACTGAACATCAGATTCCTGACTTAGGACAGGTGCAAACAAATGCAGCGGGTTTAAACGTTTTAATGGTACCAAACCTTCACCCTTTTTCCGAAACAATAGTGTTACATCACAACATAGAAAGACACACTATAAAATATCAACTGAAATAGCTTAACTCAATCAAAAGACATATTAACACCATTGAACATACACTGAACAAATAAATTTAACCTATGACACAATGTAAATACAAAATAAATAAACTAAGGGAAGAGTAATAAAAGTAACATGTTATATCGGTAAGAAATGTTAAACAATTAAAGAAAAACAATATGCTCGAACAAAAATATCAGCCATTTGCACTAACTTTAAACACAGGTAAATGAAAAATAATTTTGTTGTTAGGTATACGTGTATAGTACCAATGGAGAAAGGAAATATTTTTACAAAATAAATAATTTTGATGTTCATAGTACGAAGTGAAAATTTATAGTTATACCAAACACTTATCAAAGCTGGTATATAGACCAGATATAACCCTGAATAACATTAAATAACAAAAAAGCAATACAATTAGTATCAACAGGTCAAATAAACAAGAGAGTACGATTTGAGAGTACTCGCAGTTACTGACAGCTAGTTAAAAGCCAAAACAATTAATAATAAAAAAATCATGCATCAGAGACTAAAATCAACTAAAACACATCCCAGGGATTTAGTATTTTAACGTCATGGACAGTCAAAGAAGACATGACAAGTTTGAATTTTGGTGGGGTCACTTTTACCGTTCTAGAGTTATGCCCCTTAACACATGGAAAAATTTCTGAAATATTTGTTTCTGTTCTCTAATTTTAGTTTGCCTCAACCAAATGTTATGAAACTTATGCACAATGCTTATTACCGCAAAACTCAGATCAAGTACAAATTTGGGTAGCTTCACTTTTACAGTTCTTGAGTTATATCCCTTTATAACGTTATATGCAAGCGGGGGCATCATCTGTGTCCTATGGACACATTCCCCATTTATTTTTATTGTTATTATTATATTTTGATTATGAAATATTTATTTTTATCAAGTTTATCTTTTTATGTTTCCGAACATTTTTTTTCTAAAAGTAATTTACTAGAATACTTTTTGTATCCAACATGTCCAAGATTCGTAACAATTCATAAAGGTTTGGCAAATATTTTATGCTATTTTACGAGTAACCAGCTTTAAAAATTTTGATGAATAATATCATTGCTTTCGAAAAAAAAAACTTGGCTATACCACTGAACTTGACAGCGTAATCATGAACGGCGGGAATGATTTTACGACGTTATTGCGATTAAAACTTATTTCAACGTAGTTTAGCGCCCTATTGGCAAACGTCCCGTTTGCAATTAAAAATCAAGGTTTATTGCTTTTATTGAAAAAACAAGCACATGGACCCCCAGTTTTTTCTTTTGCAATCAATCAAGTAATATTTAAAGAACACTCCGCCAAAATTTTAAGAAAAAATCAACGATCGATTTTTTTCTGCACTTCTGAATAGACGCAAAAATATTGTCAATTTCTTTATTTCACTAATAGTAAAGTAAATTCAGAAAACAACAATTTTGTTTAACCTTAAACTTGTTACAGCATGGTCATGCCATGGATCAAGGGAACATTTTACAAAAAACCCGGTTAAGTTATGACTGTTCGTTCAAAAGTATTGGAATTTTCTTTAAAAGTCTTTTTTTATGAAATTTCAGGGTTTTCCCTTCAAATATGCAAATTTCAAACCAAATTATCTCAAAAAGTAAGTCATGAAGGTATATTTTTCTTTGCATATTTCAAAAGTACACATCGAAATTGACCTTCTACCAAAATTTCAAGAAAAAATCAACGAGGGATCTCTACTGTATCGTATGCCCTTAAAAAATGAAATATTTTCCTGACAAAAACCTTTCAGTTTGAATTACTCTGACAAAATAAATTTTCACAAAGTCGTTTTAAGATTTATCCAAAACATTATTTCAAGCTCCTTATAAGAATAATAGCATAAGGAGATTTCTTTGCTTATTCTGTAGTCACATAGGGCACATCAATTTAAGAATCTTATAAATCTCTTTAGCTTCTTTTCTTATTTATATAAATTTCTTTAACTTATTATATGAATAAAATTCAGATCAGAGAGGAGCATCTGATAGCATTAATATTATAAGAAGAATTGTGTAAATTGTTTAAGCCCGGGATGAGGTTTTAAGGTTTTAAGAAGGGATCAGTTTCCTTAATATCCCAGGAGAAAACTTGTAAGGCTAGTAAGTATATTGTGAAAATATTATCATCTTTAGACTTAAACCCATTAGGGTAATACTAGTTAAGAAATCAGCTTTCCTGCAAAGTTTCTATATAATACCAAACGTTAGTTCTTTTAGTTTGAGCCAAGAGTTTTCAGTTTCAAGCAGTTCAGTTAGAAATGGAATTTTTACATGTATATTTACAGGGAAAAAGAAGATGATTTAGAGCAGAGATACGAGCTGCTGAATCGAGAGCTTCGTGCCATGATGGCAATGGAAGGTATATATGCTATATACAGTTCATGTCTTTCGAAAGTTATGTGTTTTTGGATATCGGAAATTGGCACTCTATAGGAGATTTTTTTGCATTGATCACAAATTTTGTGCTGTATAAGGAAGATGTAGATTTTACAAAGTTTAAGCTTATGTTATCATGGTTATGGTGGCCATTTTGGATTAAAAATGATAATTGAGGATTTGAGGAAAAAAAAACCAGAAAGTTCAAATTTTCAAATTCATGGATATAACAAGACAGGTAAGAAGGTTTTCACTGAGAAATAGATTGTTGGTTTGTTGAAATGTCGCCTTGTATTGGAAACAGAGTGGCATTTGGAAATATTGTGGAATTTCCATGAAGAAAAAGGAATTACTGTAAGAAAAAGGACTAATTCCATTTTATAGCAGAAGTCTAAATGCATTTGATTACTGGTCAATGACTATATAGATACAGGATTCTATAAATCATCATAATACAGTATTCATACAGGTACCAGTACATGTATGTTGAAACCACAATTGGAAAAGTCAAAGTTCAAGTCCTTATTTCCTAAAAGTTATCACACCATTCTTATTTATGATATTGGAAGATGCCATTTCAAAATTGGAATTTGAATATATTGTATTTAGTCTTGGAATATTAATTTTGAGGTATAAAAATCCTTAAAATTACATACAGATAAAAGGAGATGTTGGATTTTATCTAAATGAGATGTAATCCAACTACACGAAAAGGCAAAATAAAGATTTGCATGCTTTGACAAGAATATTCTCCAAGAGGACAATGTTTTAGTCAAATCAATTAAATACCCATAAAATTAAACAAGACGCACAAGTTTTTGTAACATTAATAAAAGGCAAATGGGTAAAAAATTCAAGGAAACAGCAACCAAAAGACACAATTGTCAAAAAACTATTTTATTTTATTTTGTATATAATTGTTTCCAAAAGCAATGTATCAAGGTTATCAGATTTTATATTTATATCAAACATTGAAACAAGTGTGACATGTTGGACATGAGTTTTGTGATAATTGGATATATTCTTTTAAATTTTTACTTCCGTTTGTGTCCAAAGAATGACAGTTTTTGAGACAAGAGAACTTTATGGCTATAAGTTTGATGTTGATAACAGCCCTTTTGAGATTAATTTGGTTTTACTGGCACAAATATTTATTTGACTCTTGGTAATTGCTGAATAAAAGCGTTCAATAATTTGCTTACACAAAGTCCATCAAAATTGCAGCTATAATTTTTTTAGAAAATTGTTGAAAATTCATAAAAAATTTTCCTTCCTATTCCCTTTAGAACAATATTTTTTCATTTTAATTGTTTTTGATGATATTTTTTTGAGAATTTTCTACATATTTCCATAATATGTACTGTAATTGTTTAGATTTGGGTCATAAAGTGCTTTTATCAAAATAAAAATGTAAATTGTTTTAAAATATGTATTACATGTTAACCAGTAAATGTTTTGGTGAAAATGGGAAAAATTTTTGTACATTTTTACATTAGAAATACAGGTTTATTTAAGAATATAGGTCTTTTAAAAGGGATTGCTAAAATTCTGTTTAATATAATAAAACTGTTTTGACCATTTTCAAAAAGGGAATTAAGAAATATATACTCAATAAAACAAACAAAAATTTCAAGATAAAGAATTTCCATTTCCCACGCAGTCATATGTTTTGTTTTGTTTTTGTTTTGAGTTTTTTTCTCAATTTTTGAAAATAGAAATGTCAAACTTTATATATTGAACAAAAAATGCCCAAAGCTGTATTTTCTTCAATAAAATAAGAAATATGGAAGTGAATTGGCCGTTGACAGGTAAATGTTTTCTTGAGATATTTCTTTTTAATTTAAAGGAATGTAATTAGGCGTTGTGAGTATTTGTACTATGAGGAATTTTGTTGATATATACGAAGAAAAGACTATTGTAAAGTCCATTTACTTCCATTGTGAATGATAATTTTACAGGAGGTCTTAAAACAACTCTTTTCAACTGAAAGCCTTAAGAGTGGTATAAAGTGTTTATTCATAAGGGTTTAGTTGATTAGTAATGTACCCCATTGGGTCAGGTTCAATTTTGTATTGATAGAGTTCTTTAATGGAGTCACTTTTGGAAATATACTTGTTTTTCTAACTTTATCAATAAACTTTGTCTTTTAATTGTTATCCTATGTTTTCTTCTGTTATCTTTTGACCTCCTCGGACTATTTTCTTTATTTGCCTCGATTGTTGTGAAAATAAAAATATTGGAATTTAATATTATTTTTGTTTCAGGTGTGTTGAATTTTATTTTTAGAAATTTAATTGAATTGTTGGCATTTATCTTTGGGATAAAAAAAATTCTACAATAAATATTTTTGAACATTTTAAATGGATAAATTTGAAATAGAAGGTATCATTAAAAGATCTGACCAGCGGTTCACAAAAACACGACTAAAATTGATCATAAGTCATGAACAATTCAGTATACTAACTTAAAAATTTAGTCATAATTTTTTTTGTGAAATGCGGGCCTGACTTATTGTACATATAGCAAGCAAGACCTCTTGAAAATTTCTAAATTCTTCTCTTTTTTTTTTTAATTTCTAACAAAGAATATTGACACAGTTTATAACTTTTCTTAATTCTAGAACAATTGCAAAAAACTTTTTAATAATGTATTATTAAGCTGGTCAAACATTTCATTTGAAAATTCTACTTTTATTATGGTTTAATTGTTGTCGTCTTTGTAAAATTACTTTGTATTACATGTTAAACAGCAATTAGCTGTTCAAATACAGATCATTACACAATGATGATCGGCAGAAAAAAAATCTTTTTTCATGATTATGGACTTTTGTTCCAAGACCAATCATAGAGATCTTTGGTATTATTGGCCGTCATTCTAATGTCATGTAAAAGCTGCTTAAACACGTAAATTTTCATCCTTTTCAATAATGATACATTAATGCTATCTCCTTCTGCAAGAAGTAATTAATTTACTAATCTTCTCATTACCATGGCCAGCCACCTGATCCAAAAGTCCTCCAAACTTAGAACTCAGAACGCTATCATCCCTTTACATGTATGTATTTAATACAGTTCTTTAAGCTTCTTTAAAAAATTAATTAAGGTGTAATACCTTTTTCATTCAAATTATTCTCTAAATATTGATGTAAGCTCTCATAAAATGTGACAGTATCGTTATTATATCTACTCATATCTATAATTAGGGCAATGAAATTTGTCGTGCAGCATGATCTTAGCCAGGGAAGAAAAACATATGTATGTTCTCTGTGGTCTTTTTCTTTTTTTTCCAGCTCTAAGTCAGAAATATTTATATGCTAATGAATATATTTTATTTTAAAAAACCCTAAAGTCCAAACTGAGAAATGCCTTGATTATAATGGACCATAAACCATATCATTCCTCCATCTTTGACTAATTGACCAAAGTTTAAAATACCTACCAATGATTTGATGTTTGTTATACCCTCACACGTTGGAGGGGGGTTTATACCCTTACTCCAAAACAAGGGATATACTTATTTACCTCTGTCCATCTGTCCATCCTTGTGGCCTTCCGTCAATCAATTTATAAAAATTGGTCACTTTTTTCTCAGATACTACAAATCAAATAATGAAATTACCTGAAATTTAGAAACAAGCTTCTGACATGTGAATATGCTATACTGGGTGATACATTATCACAACCATCACTCATCAACTTCCTGCTTTCCTAATATTTATATATAGTTTTGTGTATTCTTCCATCTCATGAAATTTTTTCAGAAATTACAAATCAGATTCTCCTAAAATTTGGTATGAAGTTTCATATGAGCATGCTATACTATGTGATGCATTTCACATGCATGGCTAATCAACTTTAACTGAATACTCATAGCAGGGGTTAATTTTCATGAAATTGTTATACGAAATAAGAATGGATGCAAGAAAGCTTACTTTTATGTTGACAATTGTCTGAACTTCCATTTTGGAGTAATTGGACTTCAGTTATAAAAATGGGGAATGAGTTTTGCTGTTTGAATACTGTGGATTCATTTATTTTTTCGTTGATTGAGAAAAAATTGCATTTTCATGGATACTTGACTTGGTTGTTTTAATCAATTCTGCATACAAGCCTGTTATGAAAATTGAATTTTGATGATCCATAAAATCAACAAAAATGTGTACCAATAAGGAGATCTCCAGGAATGATAAGGCCACTTCTTTGAAAAACAGTATTTTGTTGTATGAAAGTGCTGGTCTTGTTACAGTTTTTAGTTTCTTATTCTAACAATGGCAATTGTGTCATCAACAGTGATGAGTATTGGCATGTGCAATTTGGTCCACTTATTTTTGGCAATATCAAAAAGACACCGGCAAGTGCAAAATAATTTGTCCATTACTGTGGATTCATTTTTATTCGTGGTATACCAATTTTCGTGGGTTTCGTGGGTCACAGCGAACCACGAATTTAAGAATTCAACGATGAATAATCCCGAGAAATGTGTATGGAGTCGGATATTCATTTCCGGTTATGTTATGCAGTTCTAGTATAGTGTTGATTAGCGATAAACATTGTAACATAACACGTGTTTTTATTGAAAAAAGATACAAGTATTTTGATTAAATCGATAATTAATTTATCGAATATCACGCCTTTTACTTATATGACTGTTTATTATACCGTGATTAGGGAACTGAGCTTTCAATCATAGAGTTTTGAATGCCTTATAAAATTCCGACAAGAATTTATAAATTGTAAAACAAACAAATAATTAGTTGTCTCTGTCCATTATTGTAATAGAAGTTTTCAATGAACACTTTAACCTAGAATGACCAAGCGAGGATTTTGACAATTCAAAACTTTTTCAATGAATCCCTTCTTTTTTGTTTGTTTTATTTTTGATCAAACCAAGGAGGTTATATGATCTCCTAAATCAAAAAGAAATCCACGAATTACGTATCTGATTATTATTTTTTTTGTAATCAGCGATCCACGAATTTACGTA